AGCAAGTGAAAGAGAGATCAATTTTTTGTGCTCTACTTGAATTGTTGTTTTTGTTATTGTTTTGCTTTGTTTGGTATTTTTTTTTCTTATTTGTTTTTTAGCATTTGGCAGTTGGCTGCAATTGTTGTTTGTATACAACAATTTGGTCAATTGGCAAAGGCGAAAAAAATACAACCACAAAAAAATAGGAAAGCAATAAAAGTATACGAAATGATTACGACCTTGAGCTCTTATTTTCATTTGTTGTGCAGCAACAAAAATGATTTACAAAATATAAATGAAAAGCAATTAAAGCTAGCCAATTTAATTTAGTATTTAGTTTAGTAAAAGTCTGCCTAAAGACTATGTAAATGCCAGCATAAATCAGGAAGTAATTTTGTTTCAGAGGCAAAGAGAAAAAACTAGTTTAAAAAAAATTGATTTCTCTCATATATCCCCTACTACAACTTCGTTAATCAATTCGCTTTATAAAATATAAAACAGGTTCTTAACTACTGCCTGTGTTGGCCCACTCTAATTCACAAAAAATTAAGTCCAAATATACGTTAATTAAATACAATTCAAAAGTCCATCGAACGCGCCAAAGCACGCAAATTGGGTATATTGCCATAAATAAACAATTTAATAAAACTGAATAATAAAATAGAATTTGACAAATTATTTAGGTTCGTGGAACGGAACGCGCCTCGCGACAGAGCAAGAAACGCACGTCTTTTGCCTTGTCCATTTAAGTAAATTGCAAACTGAGAACTTTGACTCGTGTCGGTAGCTTTCCGTAGTTGGGTCGGACAGGGTAGACGCTTAGTTTGTGTTTGAGGTTAAGGTCTCTTAATTATTATAATGAGACGCTTTGCCAGTTGAGCCGGAGATGCATTATTCTCTGGCGTTTTTTTTTTTTTTTTTTTTTTTTTCTTTTGATGAGAGATAAAAACATCTTCGTAACTGCATAACTGAGCTCTCAGCACTTGGGTCGGACAGTGTACATGCTTTGTATATTTAAGGTTAAGGTCTGATAATTGTGTTAATGAGAAACTCGTACCAGAGGCAAAAGCAAAACTGATTTAGATCATAATTGCTGTGCCTGATTCCCACAGCTAAATCAATATTTAGGGTACGAGTCATATATATCCACACATATCCAAATTAACTCGTATTTACACAACTTGAAATGCGCCTGAAAACAAATTTACGCAAATTTTGTAGTTTGCGCAAATGCTTCAATATTTGTATGGCACACACAAAGACACACAGAAATTCAAAAACGTGCACAAATGTCTGTATACCGAATACATTTCAAATCTCTATCTGAGCTCTGTTGTATATTGTTGTTGAAGGAAGTTTAACACGAACCTAAAACACATACCAATACAATACCATATATAAGATCTTGGTGCGAAGGCGTGCAAAGCAAATAAAATAATCGATGTGACTTGTTCGTCAGTAAAAGCGAAAGACAAGACACACAAAACATAAAGCATGGAAAGGAACAGGTTTTGTTACGTTTGAATACCCTTTTTTATATAGATTGTCAAAATGTTATTAATTTTGTATCGCTTTGTAGAATGAATTTCTCATTTATATGAAAACAGCAAGTTTAAAAAAATATAGGTTTATAATTTGTCTAATTAAATTGCACAACAAAAATAATGAATATGCTGCTATCAACTTAAGCTACACATAGTTTATATGGAGCTTGCGTGAGTGCATTTAAGCTTCGCTGTATTTTATGTCAATATTAATTNAAATATATAAATATGCATGGCTGACAGATTGCTTGCTGTGTGCAAATACATATGCAGGAATGTTTGCTCTGCCTGGAAAAATATCCCTTAATTATTTCTCAGTGGAAAGGTGTTATCAATGCATTGGAAGTCTACTCTATTGGAACTTATCGTCTGGATCTGCATAGCACATTTTGCTCTCTCCGGTTGATATCGAAATAAAAAAAAAAAGATTGTGTGAAATTTTTAAACACGAAAACTTTGCACTCTAGAAGCCGCGCTCTGTGCTCGGCATTATTTCTAGAAAATGTTGATATATACAAGCATTTGCCATTTCCTGTTTTGTTTTTACATACAGACGCTATCACTACAATAAGGCAACATAAGATGCATTGCTAAATAATTAYACACAAACATTTCCCCTTTATAGACTTATCAACAATGTCAGCGCGAGCTACCAAACGGGCCTCAACTCGAACTCCCAGTCAGAATGGCTGCAAAGCGAAAGGCAACTGACGCTGCTTAAGCAAACTCAGTGAATTGGAAAATGAGCGCAGAAGCCGAATGAACAGATGGACAGAAACATGCAACACCTGCTGCTGCTTCCGAAAGTGACAGAATGAAACTSAAATTTATACTGGCGGTAAAAGAAAGCAGCAGAATGGAAGGCGAAACTCGTATTGAACAGCAACTTGCGCCACACGCGTATCTAAAAAGTTTTATCAGTTATTTTAACAAATCTACAAAACAAACAGACAATACAGAAAATTATGCAATGTACTATTGTTGCAAGTAATATAGATATGTATGAACATTTCGAGACATACAAACATTTACAGCATTTATACAAATAAATGTGCATATAACTCATATTACAAACACATCACATTACAATCAAATAAATAAATATTGAAATAAATTCATTCATTCATTCAACCACAGCGACCTTGATGTCAAGTGAAAAGGGTGCTAAATGAGTGAGAAATTTATTCAAGCAATAATCAGAATAATCGCAATTATTAATTAATTATGCAKACGCTTTCAACGATTTTTTTTACTAACTATCGAACTAATTAACTTGGAACTGAAAAATATGATGATAACGCCTGGGTAACTAACCTTTTGCTGATTTTGGCGTGACGAGTTTTAGGTTTTC